AGGGCATCACAACGGCATTAGGAGTGAAGCTGGAATAAACAGCTCAGAGCCAAGCTCCCCAGCTTCAGAGCCAGCTGACTCCTACTCCAGCCTCCAGCCCGCTGGTAAGCGGTGTTTCCTTGAGGGAACTGCAACTTTAAGTATAAAGCATCGATTTTATGCAATTCATTTTCAGCCATGCTGACTTCCAGCTGCATAAACAAGCTGACAGTGCTGGATGTGGATAGCCTGAGAAAGTTTAGGAGTAAGCTTCAGTGTCAAGCCCAATCCAGCTGCCACTGAAGTTAAACTGGAGCAGGCCTTTATTATAACAAGAACAAAAATTCTAGGAGCAGGCAAGATGAGGATTTATTTTTAGACATATTATGTTAATATAGTCAAATGGTTTTACCATGAAGGTGAAGCTCTGAACTGGCTGGAACATTTAAAAAAACTCTTTAAACATGTAAGAAGTCCAAAACCTCTGAATGGCTGCATCACTTCTCTCCAGTCCTGGGAAAAAAACAGCCCTGTGATGCTAATTATGCTTCAGATGTCACTTAATACTCCCAGCTCTGTTTAGAATAGTAATCCTAGGCAAAACATTACACTTTGAGTGCTAAGATTTATATTATTAATCAACAATAAATGACAGAGTATGGATTTGATTAATATGCATCTTGCTATTATAAAAATTTCTTCTGATCTGCCCATGCTCCAAGATGACTTATTGTTCAAGAAAAGCTTGAACAATAATCTAGCATTTGCTTCTATAAGTTTTCAAGAAGTTAACTGGAGGGAGAGAAGAAACAAAATCAAAAGCCAAATTTTAGTCTTATGACTGTGACATACCGGGCTTAAAAGAAAGAAAAAAAGCAAATGAGTGTTCTGATATTTTTTCTGAGATTCAAAATGCTGTTATTTTAAATATCAGCTGCAGATTAGTATTTTGGACACCTCGTGTCAAGAGAGGGAATAATTTCACAAAGCTTAAAAAACATTAAAGCTCTTTTACTATGTCTCTGTAGCCACAGAAAACAACTCCTACCCAGAAAACATTTTACATCTTCAGGAATCAGGACCACTAAGATTTTTCATGAAAAAGGGGCTATTTTATTTTTTTAAGGTTGACTATTTTTATTTTAAAGTTGAAATAAGATGTTCAAAATTCTTTTAAATTGTATTTTATGCTAAACTCACTGAGATGCTGGAGGGTTTTTTCCCACCTCAGTAGTTTCCTGGTGTGTTGGTGCAATTGGCCCCAATATTAAATAATTACAAGGAGCATAATTTTGGGGTAAACAAGCTGTTTGAAATTGGAGCTATGCATACCAAAGGAATTGCCAAGTTTGACCTTCTTACTCAGTCTCGCCAAAGCCCCAAAAGATCTTTCTTTACATAAAAGCAAAGTGTAGTGTTAAGTTTTGCTTAGTTAATTGATGCTCAGCTCCCTCAAGGTGCAGCACCCATCACACTTGGGGCTCTTTAAGAAAGGCCAGAGGTTTGATTCATGTGAGAGAAGAGCATGTGTCTGCCTTGGAACCAAACTTGTTCAGACAGAGCACTTGGACAAGTGGAACATGGAAATGCTTTTGTTCCGTACTTTTTTATACGGCTTCATAAAGCCAAGCTTGCCTGTCAAGAAAGTCAGTGAAGTCTCAAAATGAATGTAAGGCAAGCCCTGGTGCATTTTACTTTTTTTAATCATCATCACTATTGTTTCAATGCACTGAAGAATTACCAGCTACTGCAGGGGCAGCTTTCTGATCCACTCCAGTTCCTTTATGCTGGGCTGCTGCCCTGTTTCCTAGCAACTTACTCAAACCTCCCATCACTTAAATTAATTTATGGCCCACCGTCTCCACACCCATTACTCACAGGGGAACATATCAAAACTGACAAGAGCAAACCCCATAAGTTATTAATAAGACTCTGACACTCCGAATCTACATTACAACTGCAAGCTCCCTCTAACAATACTTTTAAAGCACCCCATTCTCTGCCCTTCCTCTCCTGCGTGATGAATAAAGGCCTCTAATGCAATGCAACTATTTTTCACAAATGGCATAAGGGGGCAGCTTGACATGGGAAGAGGCTTTTTCTTTTTAATTTTTTTTAAGTAGTCAAGGCAACAAGACTTCTGAATGTTACTACTGACTCAAGCTGGAACATCCAAGAAAAGGCTCCCTCAGAGTAGAACACAATCCAGAGAAGGGCACGAATTTTCAAGTGCAATATGATTAACATTTTGGTCTGCCTCTTATTACCTCTACTATAATTTTCAGCTGAATGTATTCAAAGATACCCTCTCGTGATCAGCCACATGAGTAAATGCAATGCTAATCTCAAGCTCTTACTGAAGTCAACAGTATTCAGCCACCTAAAGAGTTTTTTAAGTTCTGAAATTTCAGCATCAGATTAGAGCTGACTAAATTAAGTTTACTACTTTATCCGGAGAGCTTTGAAAATGCCTGAAATGATTTGTGTACACAATTTTAGTACAAATAAGAGCTTTGCCACATTAGATATTCTTTTGTTCAAATGCCATTTGGAAGTCACAATGGCTAGCATAAAAGCTGTGTCCTGTGGAAGCTAAAGCTGGGAAGCAGGCTTGATAATTGCACAGGGACTATCATCAGCATCTCAAAAAGTGCATTTCGGCCTGGGAAAATGCAAGAGCTTATTCCAAAATTCCAGGCTTATGAACCAAGCGTCTCAAGTTGTTGAGTTTTACCCATTTCAAAGGTTGCACTGGAGTTTTGCTGCTGCTGCTGCTCCAGGATTCCAGTGCTGAATGAGATTCAGCAGGACAATAGAAGCATTTCTTTTACTAAGATGCAGGCAAGCTTAAGAGACTTCTCCCAGGGTCCCCACCCCCCAAACCCACCCTCTACACACAGATTTCCCTTCCCAACCCTATGAAGAGAGAGGCTGCTAGAAGGAACGTGTTTAGTTTTCACACCATTTTTATATGCATACCTATAGATTCAAGACAGTCAGATTACTGGGAGCTAGTTTAAAAAAAATCCTTGATGTACCTGACTTCTCTGACAAAAGTCAAAATCTGCAACACAAGCACTACAGCCATTGGCAGAGCTTCAAATACCTCAGATTTTTACAAAGCCCTTTATCCCTTTGATGGCATATTTGATAACAGTTTTATCTCATTTCATGTTAGGGGGAAAAAAAAGAAGAGAAAGAAAAGGGAAAGAAATAAAGGACAGACTTGTACTTCCAACAGAGAATACTTTTGTTAACTCTGCTATTGTACTCTGTAATACTATCTCCTTTAAAACGGCGACTTAATTTCTGCCCTGTGCCTCTTGAGCCCTCGATATTCCCCACGTCCCGGCTGAGAGCGGAGGCAGGTAGGAGGCAGCACAGGACACTTGAAGAACGCACAGCTGCCTGCAGCACTTGGCGGCAGGACCACAAAGTGGGTGTCTACACCACAGCTGCAGAAGGAATGCTTTTGGGGCGGGCTTTCCTCCCCCCAGAAAAAGTCCAGGCCCTCCCAGCAACCAGTCCTTATCTGACCATGAAGGGCCAAGCTTTGGAGGGTCCAGGCATGCTTCCACCTTGCCAGCAGCGATAGTGGCAGAGGATAGGAAATGAGATTCTGCCCTCCCCTGCATGCACATTCAGCGCCCTCCTCCCCTCCCAAAAATGACCTTAGGCATCTAGGTTAGGATGACTGGATTTACAAAATTGCTGAGCATCAACATACCCCAAGGCAGTTGGTAGGAAATTGTCTGCTCAGCGCCTTTGGAGAAGGGGTGTGTGTGGCAGGGGGAAACAGTTTTGTTTCCTAGGTGATCTCAAAATACAAGTTTTAGGAGCAGAAATTTGGGAGCGCTCGAGAGCCAGACAGGAGCCCCCCAGTGCACGCAGCACTGCCAGGCACAAAAGCCACGCACCTCCTGCCACCCGAGGCCAGCACTGTCCATGTCCACACATCCTGGGGCCCTCCCTGAGCCTGCCTCTCTGGGGCTGGCCTGCACGATGTCCTTTTGGAAAGATGCTCCTCACTTTCTCTGCGGGGAGCTGAGGGCTCCTCTGCACAGCTGGCCATCAAAGCCTCAACCCTCCGGAGCACTCCAGAAGAAACCAGCAGCAGCAACGTCTGAGTGTTTTTTCCAGCCAACAACAAAGCAGGATGACTGACGAAGGAAGGGGTCACCCATCCCTCCATCTCTCTGCTCTGAGGGGCTGACCAGTATTTACTAGAGTGGACAAGGCTGGAAAAGTGCCTGGCAAAAAGCTCCACCTCCTTGAGCCACCGAGTTTTGCACACAACTGAAGAGAAGCCAGAATCTCTGGACCACAAGGGGCAGGTAGCCAGGAAAAGGTGTGCTGTGGGGAGGAGTGGGTGAAGTGCACCAAAAGCTAAAGCCAGGCTTTTCTCAGTCTTCAGCTTCTGGAGTCCACAAGCACCTCCAAACACAGCCAGCTTCCCAGGGAAGCTGGCAACTACTGCACCCAGAACAGCAACAGCAGCTCCCATCCACAGCGAGCAGTGCAGCGAGATTTCCCCCTGGGAGAAGCAGGAAGCCTTCCCAAACACGCTCCGGGGAAGGAGGCCAGCTATGACACACACTTTTCACACGGGATCCCTCTACAGCCCCTAACCCACTGCTCTTCTGGCTTAAGCCCAAGACTTCACTGGTTAAGAGAAAAAAAAGAAAAAAAATGAACTTCTGACCTTCTAAGTCTCAAGAGACTTATTCATGCTGTAAAGTGCAGAGATACTGGGTTTGCTTCCCTGACCCATTTAGATCCCCCTCACTGCACATCTGACTTTCAAATTTAACAGGCTGTGCATTGTGAGCCCCAGGGAACAAAAACAAAAACACCACTACATTTTACTCATTTCTGTGCTGCGGATTCCCGACGCTCTTGCCAAGATGCCTGCTCCCTCCCAAATCCCGATCCCTCTTCCCCTGGCACAGAAGTTAGAGCTCAGCTCACTAAGGACATCTCAAGCACCATCCAACAGAGCTAGAGCAGCTCAAGCAACTCACCGGCCAGGCGAAGCTGAAGGGGATAACGATCCGGTTCTTTTCATTATTCCGGTTGTACTTTAAATTGAAGGTATTTCCTCCGATGACAGGAGTGGATTTGGATCCGAAGCTGCAAGGACCGCCAGCAGTGACCCGCGATTGATACTCCTTCAGGCAAACTTTAAAATAGGTGTCACACTCGTCTCTGGTGCATTTTTTATCTCCTGGGTTTCGGGTGCCATCGCAGCAATTTCCATTCTGCAGTTCACCATTCACATTTTGCATGGATAAGATCTCCAACTCGAACTGTCCTGACGCTAAAGTCACCTGTTAATCCCAAGAAAGAACCGAAGGGAAAAAAAAAAAAAAAACAAAACAAACGAACAAAAAAAAAAAAAAAAAGAAACAAGAGACAGACAGTTACCTAACTTTTTTCCCCAAACGCAATGTACAACAATTCTGAAGACAGGAAAAAGTAATTTTAAGTGTGCTTTCAAGAGGCACATGCATAATGTTAAAAATAAAACAAAGCTAACCACTCCAAGCTTTCACCTATCAGACATCCATGAGAAGGGCTCATAAATCAGGCCAACTAAATAACGCCATTAATGCCAAAAAACAACCTTAAGTGCCAGCTCCGAAAAACACAGCGCGAGGAAGGCTTCCAAACGGTTAGGAAATAAAAGTAAACTAAACCAAGAGTGCAATACGCGAGGAGCAAACCCAGCAGAACGATGTAGCTCCTAATGCACTGCCTGGAAAGGCACCCAGCCACCCCTGTGCCTCCTCCGGGGTGCAGCCGAGCCGGGCACGGCTGGAGCTGCCCAGCTGAGACGCAGAGCCCGCTCATTAATCACCCCAGCAGCGCTGCTATTAAGTTGATTTTAAAAAAAGAGTATTTAAAAAAAGAAAAATAAAAGGGGAAAAAAGTGATTTTGGGGTGAAAATAAAAGCGGTTTGCAGTAATCGCATTTCTCGTTCCCAGGAATTAAGCCTCGCTGCAAGGCGCTCTCCCGCGTTTGCCATCTCCAGAGAGAAGCCAGGGCAGCAGCTCCGCTCCGGCCGGAGGAGCCGTGCGGGATCTCCCGGACCCACGTCCCCAAGCCCCGCGGAGGAGCGCGGAAGCCGTGCCCGGTACGTACCTGGGCCCGCAGCGCCAGGAGCAGGGTGAGGATGGAGCACGCCGCCGCGGCTGCCCGCCGGGGCGCACGCATGCCGCCGCCGCCGCGCTGCCCGCCCGCCCGCCTGCAGCGCCGCCGCCGCCGCCGCTCGCTCCGGGTCGGGACGGGACGGGGAGGGCCAGGAGGGAGGAGGAGGAGGAGAAGAAGGAGGCGGAGGAGCTGGAGGAGGAGGAGGCGCCGCTGCTGCTGCCGCCGCCGCCCCGCTCTAATATACCGCGGCGCACCCGCGCCGGACAACGCCGCTTTTCAAGCGCTTTCAATAGCGCCCCGCTCTTCAATGCAAAGCAGCCCAGCCTCCTTTTATCCGCCTTATTCTCTCGCCTCCCCTCTTTTCTTTCCCTTTTCTTTTCTCTCTCTCTCCTTTTTTTTTCTTTTTGTTTTATTATGGCGATTATTATCCCAGTCCTTTTATTTCTTGCGGCGGAGCCCCTGGCCCCCCCGAGACACACGCACACTCACTCACTCACACTCACATTCACACACACACACGCACATGCAGCACACGCACCGCCCCGCAGCCGCCCGCCCGTCTGGGAGCGCCGCCGCCGCTCCGCTTCATCTAGCCCAGGGCGGCAGGCGCATGCGCCCATCCATATGCATGAGGGGGATAGCAGGAGGAGGGCGCGGAGGAGGGGAATGGCACGGGCAGGCAGGTACCGGCAGGAGGAGGCGGCGGGCATGGAGGGAGCTGCGGCCCGGCGGCTGCCCCGCCTGAGGGAGGCGGCGCGCCCCGGCCGCCCCGAGGGTCCGTCCCTCGGGAAGCATCGCTCCGCAGGTGCTTCTAGCGCAGCCTGGAGCAGGAGGAGCCGCGCTGCGGCGGCCCCGGCGCTCCCTCAGCGGCGCTCGCGGCTGAGGGCTTTTCCCGCCCCGCCGCTCGCTGAGGGGACGCGCCGGTCCTGCCCGCCCCGGAGCCGCAGCCCGTTCCTTCTCGCCTCCTCGGCGCTGGTGGAAGGAAGAACAAAACACGAAGCATTTTGGGGGACACTTTTTGCGGTGTGAAACCTTTCCCCGGGCATTGGCCGGCGGCGGCCACCCTCTCTTCCCGGCCCTCGGCAGCTGAGGCGGGGCGGGCCGGGGGCGCTGCCGGAGCGGGCCGGCGCGCCCTGAGGGGACGGTAGGCGCGGCCGGCCCGCGACTCTCAGGTAGCCCCGGCCGGCCGCTGTCCTGAGGGAAGCCGAGGTGGCAGTCGCCACCGTGCGACTCGTGCCCGCCTCGACACGAGGTCGCGGCGCCAAGGGCCTCCCGCGCTCCAAGTGGGAGGAAAGATCCCTCAGCTGATTAGTGCCGGTAGCACAGTGCTGGCAGAGTGCCGAGACCATCAGGGACCCTGTGCCCGCGCTGCAGAGGCTCATCCCAGTTTTCAGGTGGGTGCTGCGGTTGTTCTGCCACACATCCTTTGAGGAGCAAGGTCCAGAGCTACACAGCCAGGTGATTTACTTAAGGGACTCCCTGACACAGGTTACTGAGAAGCCCAAAAGTTTGCACAGCAGCAAAAAGAGTTCAGACTGGTTCCCAGAGGAAGAGCCACACATCAAAGGGCGTTGAACAAAAAAAGAAAACCCAAAAAAACCCCACCCCTAACTTTGTCTCTGGTTTGGGAAGTCCCTGGGCTGTGGGTCTAGAAGTTGGGTGACTGTGCTGGGAACTCGCTGCATCACTGTCCCTTTCTTCCTGAGGCGCTGGCGACAGGAACTTGGCCTACATGACGTTCGGTCTGACCCAGAACAGCTATTCTTACGTCCCGATCTATTCCACCCTGATCTAACACAGTAGATGTGTGAATGTCTATTTTATACACCACAGTCTGTGGTACAGAGGAAAACAAGATTTCTGACCTAATTTTATATCCTTTGTTTTCATTTCCTATGGCAAAAGCAAAGTGCCTGTTCTTGGCTGTGGTGAGGTCTGTCCCGTTACAGGGTGCCCCAGGCTGGAAAGCTGGTGGTATTTGTGCCCCTCACCTTAGAACTGTGCTTAGACTTCCACCTGACTCCTGCAGATCCTGTTCCCATTGGTGAGTTCACAGCTTAGATCACACTCTGGTGATTTTGGCACGCCTGTGAGGTGCGCAGTTGCTGAATTCTCCTTCCAGCCTCGCTCAGCCCCCAGGTTCCACCAGTGCTGGTTGTAGCTCACCGGATTCATTAACTTTTCAAAGGCTGGTAAACCATCATGGTGTTTAATCTGCAACATGGCAGTTTGGTGATACCAGTGCCTCTCTTCTTTTTTCCCAGTGGGTGTTGGTTAGCTTCCACAGCCTGGTTAAATGTTATTCATTCCCAAGTGCCACACATCTGCTCCTCTGGGCCTTTAAATACCCTGCTGCTGCTGGTATGCTCCGTACCTTTAGGGCAGGTCTGGAGTTGGCCTTTCTGTAAAAGGTTACTCCACCTGTTTGACTCCAGTGCTTAGGAAATCCAGAGGTCTCTTTCCCACAGTGCTTGTGAGTCAGCAGTGTAGCTGCCCTCAAACAGAATTACTTGTCCAACAACTTAAAATGCTTTGCAAGCATTAATGAATTAAGTCTCCCAGTGTCTTGAGATGGAGAGTATTAGTGATAGGTAAAGCAAGGCAGAGCATGAATCATGTGCAGAAGCACATTGCAAACCCTCTCCCTTACAGCCCTGAAAGAAATGTTGACCTCATGGAAGTCAGCAGTAAAATCCCCCTAAATATATTTAGTCTAGAATTTTCCCCTTGGAGTCCCACCTCTTGCTTTTTTCCTCCGGGCTGTCAAGAGCCCAGAGACCCAGTGGCCCCCTTGAGCCACTGCACAGCACAGCCTGCAGCCACTGCACAGCTGCCTGCAGCCCGAGCATCTTTTCAAGATGCTCCCTTCACTAGGGCCACAGCAACGTGCAAACTGCTGCGTGTGCACAGGGCCCTGAACTGCAGTTGCTTGGAGCAGCCTGGGACCGGTGCACATAAAATCCCTGCTGCAAGGCTCTGCCTGCACGTCTCAGGAGGTGTGGAGCCGACGTGCCTTCCTCTGTGGCTGCTGAAGAACTTTTCAGCGTCTGGCACTGGGCTTTTTACATTGCGTAAAGTTACTTCCTGCTAATCTTCCTATTCCGACATAATTAGATCACATCCACATTAGAAGCCGTTACAGACATGGAGTGTGCCAAAGCCCGGCGTTGAGGCAGTGCTTCAATTCAGGCTTTGGGCCTGAATCAGCTCCCTAATATAGAGCTGTTCATTGAGGCCACTGGGAGATTGCCCAGGACTTCGGTGGGACCAGGATCACAGCCTTTAGAGGGAGTGTCTGGCTTACGAGGGTCAGGTGTCGTGAAGTCAATTCTTTGTGTGAGGAAAGTTGTAATTTCCTTTTAAAGCTCAGTGACTCATTGAGCCATGGCTGTGAACAATCCCACAGGATTTCCTTAGATTTGTGATACCTGAAGGTAAGCTTGGAATGGCGCCCCTGGAAAAGTTCTTCGTTCAGGGACCTGATGCATCTCATTTTTGAGCCGGTGACTAAACTTTTGTTTACTACTGTAATGCAGATGAAGACAGTTGCATAATCATAGGGGACTGACATTGCATCAGCCTTCAATAAACTAGTTAAAGGACTACCAGAAAAGAATCTGTTGACATGTGGAATCTGTGGTCAAAAAGAATTCATAAAGCTCAATGACCTCTTTTCACAGCAAATGAAGAGGCTAAAGGAGTCCTTTGTTCCTCCAGATTTTTATAAAAGTAGTTTTGCTCCTTGAAATTAGCCAATAAAATAAATTTGCTGCAGTGTTAGATGTAAGCCTGGACAAGCTGAGTGGAAGAGTGAAATTTCATCCACTCGGCTAATCCTTTATCTAGGAGTTAAGCTTCCCTGTTGCAAGGAGAAGGGCATATCAGCGCAGTCAATCACGGATGAGTGAGCTTTTAGATAAGGCCTTTCCTATAATACACCCACCACACTTCATTTTCCTCCGGCTGTTGCGGAGGTGACCTGCCCACTCGGGCGAGTGTCACGGAGCAGAGATAGGGACCGCGCCGCGCCGCTGCTCGGCTGACGCGCATTTCGGAGCAACACATTCCAGCAGATGAACCCATTGCACAGTTGAGTGATCTAAACTTAGAAAGCTAATTTCTCTAATTACAAAGTGAGACTGAACTCCTGTAAAGCTTTTCATCACCTGAGTGGAATGGGAATTGCGCTTCCATAATCATTTAATGCTTAGAAACTAATTAGGAAGCGTTTTGTGGGGAAGCCACACCCGGTGTTAGACTATTTCACAAATGGAGCAGGGGAGAAAACTACCACTGATTAGAAAGTTGAGCAAGTGGCAGAGGTTAGAGAAAGAGCACAGTTTACCCAGCACTGAAGAGTGCATTCCCACTTCCATGAAAGCTTCAGTTCTTCCCAGTCAGGCAATTTCTTAAAGCTGTGTCTTCAGACAAGCTTTCCAAATGTGACAAAAGATTTTGGAGAAGAAGATGCTCTAGTAACCAGAGCCCCGAATCCAGTTTGCTGCCGTGAGCCCTTATTTTCCCCTTTCCCTGGAATGTGTTGCTTCAGACAACTAAAATTTACAAGCTGTGCTGTGTTAATTGTGCATGTGCATTTTGTCACTGTGAAATTTCTACCTTAGTTTTTCTGTATGTTAGAAATGTTTCATTCCCCAGAATGAAAGTGAGGCAATAAATCTATTTCAGAGGATACTCTGAGAACAATTTAATTAAAAAAAAAAAAAAAAGATTCGGGGGTAGTCAGAAAGTACTGCAGTAAGAACCAGTAAAGTCCCTGAAAGAGTTAAAGCTGCAGTACGAAAAAATGTCTGTTGTAGAGCCTTTATGTTTTATCCAGCTGTAATTAAGTGAATCCATAACATTATTGCTTTCTGTCACAGCTTCAAATTGAGACCTTACTCCATTCCAGGGAATAGTGCTGTTTTTCCTTCAGTTTCCTTTATTTATATGCACATAAAACCTGCTCTCTGGTTGTTTCTCTGTTAACCCTTCACGGATCAGATGCCTCCACATTAACCTGTGGACCCAATTGCTTTGTCCTTCACTTATCCTCCCCAGGGGTG